CAGAAGCAAAAGGGTTCATGAAGATGTAAGTCCTTCTGGAGCTTATAGAGGAAAGCACTGGGCTCTCCCCAAAACATGGAACTGCATGGCATGGAGTTCACACCAACCTCCCTGAGACCTTAACGGCTGGATGCTCCAGCTGACACTCAGGCCATGTGCCCAATGCACACCCCTAGGACTCCTATTTTTGCGAGCTCCATGCTAGGTAGGATGAGATTTAGGAAGTACCAGGCCTGTGTTCTCACTTATCCTAGCTCATCCTCCCAATGAGTTCAAAAAGCCAGCAGCATTTATGAAGTATACACACTCACACACTCAGTACACACATGCCCTTCCTAAGCTTTCTGGAAATCTCCCAAACAAAAGGAAATTTATCACAAAACTAGTGAAACTTAAGCTTCAGAGATCCTCACTACCCCTTCCAAGCCCAGTATCCAATTTCATATGCACAATGTATTTTTTTTTCCTTCAAAGATCATGCACGTTTCAAGCTCCACAAAGCCTGGATCCACCCCTACTCTAAAAGATCCAGTCAAACATCTGGCTCCCAAACCAAATTATTTTCACTTGGAACCACATGGTGGCACCGAGGGCTCGGCTTGGGAGGGGCACCCTCCCAAGATCAGGGCACACCCTACCCTATACCCCACACATCCGCCAACATGTGAAGTCATCCTCCATTTCCATCCACAATTAAGACCTCTTAAACATCCCCATCCACAGGTGGGTGGAAGCAGATGGGGTCCTAGAACATTCAAAGATGCCAGAAAACCATGGGTCACATTTCCTTTCCCTTTCCCTTCCTTTCCTACCCTCCTGTCTCCTTTCTTTTTACTATGCAATACCTTCTCCCAGGACTATCTCATTCACTCACATGGCTTCAAGCACATCTGCCCACAGACACCTAAATCTCAATACATCCACAACTAAGGCATTTCTGCAAATACCTAAACATGCCCCTGAATTCCCTCTCCCAGAGAACACACAAGTCAGCACCAGGCACCCCGTCCACAGGCCTGGAGTGATACACTTCTCCCTCCATCCCCTGTCCCCACATTCTACCAGTGACAAAGCTTTTCCATTTTCTGTTCAAAGTAGTCCTGCAGCCCGTTCCCTCCAGTCCACGCTGTGAGCACCCCTGTTCAGGCCTCCATTGCATCTCCCCTGGGCCATTGTCCCTTGATAGGTCCCCCCGACTCCAGTGTCACCCTCTCCCTCAATCATCCTCCACACTGAGCCAGGGGGCTTGCCCTGAAATGAAATGTTACTCCATCCCACTGAAAGCAAAATTATTCAGCAGTCCTCCACCAACTACCAATATCCAAGTTCCTTTACTTAACATCAGAGGTCTTTCATGACCCACACCACCATGACCACACCACCACCCACTACCAGATGCTGGTATCTACAGCCTCTCATATCCTCTCTCACATCCCCCTCTGGCTACCTGGCCTCCAAGCTATCTTGCCATTTCCTGTATCCTCAATACCTCCTCCTCATGAGAGGCCCTGTGCCCCACCTCTATTTCCATTTCATCCATCGAGCAAACGCTTGCCCATCCTTCAAGGCCCAACTCAAGCTCATGCCCCTCTATGCAGTCTTCTCTGATGTTCATCCGCACCACCCTTCCCCAAGTAGACTAATCACTCCTTCCTTTGGGCTCTAGTTTTACCTAGTACCACTGTCATTATTGCCTCTGGTAGTCAATACAAGTTATGTAAATTACATGTCTCCTGGGGTCACCTGAGTCCCTTTAAAATTGGCTTGGACCCCAGTTTGCAGCCAGTGGAAATCTCAAGCCCACTTTTGGATTTTTATGACTTCCTGGGAAGCTGCATTCTCCTAGTCACCAATGATTCTGGGCTTTTTACTTTTATTGTCCTAAATGAATGACTGCGTGTAAATAAATAAATATTCACACAAAGCACCGATGAGTATTGTAGATTATTCCTTAAACATCTTTCAGTTATCCACACTTGGAACATTTTATTACAGCATCACTCCTAGAATCTTCAACTCAAAGATTAACATTCATTCACTGGCTTCCATTTATACCCCCTCCCCACCTTCTCCCTTTTCTTGTTCCCATCCCCCACACACCCACCAAGATTTCCACCAAGAGCCCCAAATTCTTCACCTCTCATTGTGCAGATCACTTCCTCATCCTAAGTCTGACAGCCAAACTCACTGCAGAATCACATCAATACAAAAAAACCACCAAGGGTCATCACTTCCTCAGACCAAAGTGATGGCTGTAAAAATAAAAAAATAATTTCCTCTCACACTGTCCATCTCCCCCATAGACTCTGCCCTCCTGAGAGCAGAGTGAGATCTTATTCACCTTTCTATCCTCCCTGCCTAGCACAGTGGCTGGCATGTAAAATGCATGCAAAAAAAATTTGTTGAATTAACCAATGAACGAATTCACACATGACTCCACATGCTGGCCCACCCCTTACACTCTGGTTGCCTGAACCAGAAGCAAAATGGTCTAAGCAGAGAGCAGAAGTCTGGGGAAAGATGGGTTTGAGATAGGAGGGAGTTCACGGAGAGAAGCACTTTTCCTCCCTTCATCTTCACAAACCACGATTCCCCCTCCTGAAAACCAGGCTCTTTCCCATCAAATGATCACCTCAGCCACCTTCAGTGGTGGTTCAGCATATTTCTGCGTGAAATAAATGTTATTTTCTGGTGCACCCAGGTTTCATTACTCTTCCTGTCAGGGAAAATCAAAGCAAGAGGAGAGAGGCACCGGGCAGAAAGTGGCTTCTTGCTTACGCCAGGAGGAAAAGGATAATGTTGCCCATGGAAAGAGAGGGCGGAAGACAGAGAGAGAGGGAAAACTAACTTCCTCATTTAATCAAGTCGAAACACAGATTATATGAGGTTGAAAAACAGTTACCGTGTTCTCGCACCAGTCTCTTGCTCTGTCTGGGGCTATAAAACCCTTTGCGATTTTATCTTTTCATAAACTTTTATTGAATCTGATGTTCAAGGGGCCATGGAGGATCATCCAATTAAACTCCCCCCTCTAATCCTACTCTTAAACTCCAGCACTAAACTGATGGGAGATTAAAAGCTAATAAAGATGACAAATGAGAGGTGATCAGCAGGTTGATAAGGGAAATAGAGTCGGGTGGGGATTTGCCAGAGGGGAGTGAGGCCCGATTCTGCAAAATACAGGGGTGGTGGAGCTTTCCTGGTGGCAAATTCAAAGAATTCTGAACAGATGCAATATGGATGCCCATGAAAAGGTCCTGCTCAGTGATGCTGCGATGTTGGGGTTAAGACAGGCTGCCCAGGGCAGGGTTATATAGCAGGAAGAGGGTTGGAAGTGGCACAGAATTACCAGGGTTGAAATAACAATACTGCTCATGTTAGCCATAAAGCCATGGGTGATGCTAACATACTGTTCATTGTACAAATATTGTCATAAGGATGGCCATAGAACTGTCCCATGTAGAGTGCCAACCACATGCCAGGCGCTATCATATGCACTTTGCATTCACTCTCCTGAGGATAGAAGTCATGTGTGAGTGGAATGCTTGCCCATTACATACATTAGAAAACTAAGGTTCAGGCAGGCAAACCATTTTGCCAAGGCCCATCAGTAACTGGCAAAGCTAAGATCAGAATCCTGTATTTCCGAAAAACTAATCCCCACCTCTTGGGGTTGTATTAAGGACGTCTGAGAAAAGACAATGGTACAGGCTTTGTAGTAGCCACTAAAAGTTTAGCTTGGTTTCCTAGACCCTATATTCCTCACCATCACCACTCCCAAAATGTAAGCTTTAATGATGAGGAAAGTGAGAGCAATTTTTTTCAAACATCATGCCGTATAGTATATATCAATTCATTTAATCATTTTACAGGCATCTATGAAAACATTTCTTTGCCAGAGTCTTTCATAAATATGCATCAAACTAATCCTCACATCAGCCCTGAGAAATAGGAATTATTTCTTCATTTTAATTAATGAGTAAACAGAGGCTTAGAGAATCTAAATGATTCTCCTAGGATTGCAAAGCTAATAAGTGACAGGGATGAAATTCAGACCCAGTTGTGCCCTGATCCCAAAGTCCTAATTCTTTCCACGACCCCTGCCTCAGTGGTATCTGGTCCAGCAATGGGGATGAGACAGAGATACCATCAAATAACAAAATACAGCTGTGTGGCCTGTACCCTGCAAGATACACACACAACCATCATCATTGCTCCAAAGGAAGGCATTTCAAAAAAGGATTCATACGGAGGGAAGCATTATTTTTGGGCTTCTGGAGGTGGTGAGTTACAGATGTTACAGGGAAGGGGGAAAAAGAAACATGAGTAGATGCTCAGAGAAGGAAGGAGGGGGCCTGTTGGAGAGTTTGGAGTACCCCAGTGTGGCTACACTGTATGGGTTTCAAGAAGGGAAGATTGGACATGTAAAGAGGTTCGGTGAAACCAGGAAGACCTTGACTGTTATGGTAAGAAGATTTGAGAAAGTGAGTTAAAAGCTCCATGTTGGCCAGGCATGGTGACTCATGCCTGTAATCCCAGCACTTTGGGAGGCCAAGGCAGATGGATCACCTAAGGTCAGGAGTTTGAGACCAGCCTGGCCAACATGGTGAAGCTCCATCTCTACTAAAAATACAGGTGCGTGCCTGTAATCCCAGCTACTCGGGAGGCTGAGACAGGAGAATCTCTTGAACCTGGGAGGCAGAGGTTGCAGTGAGCCGAGATTACACCACTGCACTCCAGCCTGGGCGACAGAGTGAGACTCCGTCTCCACAAAAAAAAATTTAAAAAAGCTCCATGTCACACCACCGTTCCCTGTTTCTGGGGACATGAGTCTCCCAAGAAACTGTGGCTCAGGTGCCCTAGGAAACGAGCACAAGTGACAAGCCTCCTCAGTGGGACAGAAAAGGAAAGTTTCTCCCAAGTAGAGTGAACTGAGCTGTGGCTGGAAATCGAGCAGTCAGGACGTCCACCCTCAGCTCCGCCCCTCGCAGCCCACTCACAGTGTCTGCAGCCTTGCACAGCTCGCCACTTGGGACGTGTCCTTCTGTTCCTGTGGAGGACGAGAGGGCTGAAGAGATGATTTCTTCTCGTGGGCAATCCTATCAGTGCTCAGGGAAGAATTCACTTTCGCTTAAACCACCAGGCACTTTCAGTCTTCCAAATTCTCGGGCCCGCATGCACTCGCACCTAAGGAAGGAAGGGAATCTAACTTTTTCTGAGCCCTGACTATATACCAAGCCCCATCACCCATATGATCTCATTTTAACATCACAGATGCACCATGCAGCTTTGATTAACCTCATTTTTACAGACAAAAAAAAAAAATCCCTGAAGCTCAAGGACACACAGCTAGTTCAAAGTCTCATTTGTCTGACTCCAAAAGCATGAATTGTTTTCACTACATCAATGCTTCTCAGTCCTGGCTGGTTATTATAATAATACGGGAAAGTCCTACCCCAGGCAAATTGCTGGCAGTGCAATGCAGGCCCTGGTAAGCTATAGAAGCCCCTCGGGTGATTCTATTTGCAGCCCAAGGTTAGGAACCTCTGTGCTAATGTTTGCTTCTCTCTAAGACAATAGCCCTTGAGTCTCATCAACCACAACCCCCATCCCTAGCCTCAGCCCCACCCACCAAGTAAACCCAGTCCAAGTCGCCAACTCTTTTTACAAGTTAATATTCATTTCATCACATTTAATTAACACAGGGAGACTGGAGCTGTCTCAGCTTCGCACCCAGCTAGCAGGAGTCCACGCCTCCCTTGGAGTTCAATCACGGCACTGTCTTACGCAATTAGCTTCCTTCGCCCTGATCTGAAGGGTCTGTGTCCATAAATATCAACCAATTTTATTGATATTTGTAATTAAAACCACCCAACGGGTCACACTCAGTTGAGCAAGTTTGCAACACACACATCCATAATGGGAACATGAGTGCATTTGTATTTGACATTTGATAGATAATAATCCTGGCCATTTCTCATTTTCAGAACATCCTGTGGGTACCAGCTAATTAAGCCTAGCATGTCTCCTGGGATGGACATCGTTCTTCAGACATAACCCTTTGATTGTCTTTGTTTCTGAAGTTTCAAGGAAACCAAGGACCAAAAAAGTGGGGTGACAGGCTAAAACCGCAGAGAGAAAACTACATGGGTACTAGGTCTGATCTTGCCAACTTCTCAAGTTTCTTCTCCAAACTTCTCTCTATATCCTTCTAAAGATAAAACCAATGGCATTAAGAATGAGCTCCAGGCCACCCTTGGAAGCCCCAGTGCTATTTCTCTGGAGTTATTTCTGCTGCCTCAATGGTCCCTTCCATCCATAAGATTATATGGACAAAGCCTAACTCAGCCCTGAGTTCCAATCTGGAGCTGGAGTAAGATCTGCCACCACCAGCAGCACCACAATCTCATCTCTATGTTGGCCCAGTTTTAGATACACCCACAGGTTGTCTGAGATCTGGTTGGGTGGTTTTTACCCGAAAATTACCAACAAGTTCATCTGTGAACTCCCTGGAGACCCAGAGCAGGACTCTGCTGAAAGTTCTGTCGTGGAGCATAGCTGGTTGCTGAGCACGGGTCCAGCATAGGCTCGGGTTATTAGATCTGCCCACTTCTCATTTTCCCTTTGCAATCTCATCACTCGAATATACCCAGTGAGATTTAAGACCTTTTCCCAAATCCCCTAACAGCATTTTTATAAGAAACAATCAGTCTTCAAGTGAGTTAAAAGGAAGCCATTCTATCCTCAAGGGCAGCCTCTTGAGTGCCTTGGCGGGAGGATTATTTCTCTTGTGACCTAGAATAATCCCTGCATTTCCAAACCCCACAAGGGTAGAAGGGAATTCCACCAGGGAGGAGGCAGGAAGAACAGGTGGAGAGAGATAGCATGGAGACAGATGAAGATGTACTGCCCGGCAATGGTGGAGGAGGGCATTTTTACGGTATTATGACTTATGCCACACCTGTTTCCAGAAATGATTTGAGACCAGTACAATAATAGGCACATATCCAATAAAGCCATTAAAATAGAAATAAGGAGGACCTATAAATGTCTGCAGAGGGTGACATTGAAGAAGTCATGTTTCCCATTATCCCAAGAACTCAAGTAGAAAGAGTAGGTTGAGAGTGAGCATGAGGTGATTCATTGACCATTGGGACAACTAACTCAATTATTCAGAGACTAACGATTCAGTTTGTGATTAATCTTGGCCTCTGGCATCAGCCCTTTCTCTCTTCTACTGCCTACCTATGAGGAATTTTACTGTCCAGCATGCATCCATCCAAACGTAGCCATGAAAAGGGATGAAATCAGAGACTCTTACAGTTGGAAAGGATTTAATACATCACTTAGGAAGACTTCCTACTAAGTCCAGGAGTTCCTTTTAAAGCTGCTGTTTCAGAAAGTTGTGCAGCATCAACTTGAATACCTCTAAAGACAGGACACTCACCACCAGATGAGGTATTTCTCATGAGGGTCCATTCTACTGCTAAACAATCAGATCATTAGAAAACTCCTTTTTATATAAAGATAAAATCAAATCCCTTAAAAACTCAAGCCATTATCCCAAACTTGATGAATCTTCAAAATTACCTGGGATGCTTTTGAAAAGAGATTCTTGTGGAAGTACAAATTAGTACACCACTTAAGAAAATAACGTGGCATTATCTGCTAAAGCTGAACATACGCACATCTATGACCCTACAATTTACTCTAAGGCATACGTTCACCATAAATACTTGCACATGTGCACCAAGAGGCCAGTACAAAAACATTCACAGCAGTGTCCGTCACAATAGCCAAAACTGCAAGGAATCACAATGGCTGTCAACAGTAAAATGGGTAAATTTTGATATATTTGTAAAATTGCACATCCGAGAGCAGAGCTGTCCAAAATAACTTCATATCATGATGGAAATTTTCTGTTCTGCACTGTCCAAGATGGCACCCATTTATCACATGAGCCCACCTAGCACTTGAAATATGGCTCGTGCAAGACAGAAACTGAATTGTTTAATTAATTTTAATTTTAACAGCACATGTGGCTAGTGACTACTGCATTTGCTAGCACTGTGTAAGGGCGAAACAGTGAAAAAGAACAGACTATACAGAGTAATGTGAATGAAACTCATTCAGTGAAAGAAGTCAGACCCTCCCAAAATGCCTACTTTTTATAACTACATTTATATAAAGTTCAAAGATAGATCAAATGAAATTAAATGTTTAGGGATGAAAAATTAAGCCCCAGCATTTGAGGATGCCTGCTTCAGTGGTAAACTTTGGATGGGAAGGAACACAGAGGGTCTGAGGGGAGCTCCTGGACCCTGGCAGTGTCCTATTTTGTGGCTGTGTAGTGATGACACAGGTGTTCACTTATTGATAAATCATCAAGCCATCCTTCGTTCTGAACACTTACCTATATGTGCTTTATATTCCACAACTTAAAAAGGGCTAAAATACAAATTGTCTTGGCAACGCTTTTGCAAATCTAAAATTATTCTGAAGTTACATGCTTATTTTTTAAAACATCCATTCCCAGTGCTCTGCTACAGATGTGTTGAATCAGATTTTCTGGGGATAGGTCCTGGGAATCCATAATTTTCTAAAGCCCTGGGGTAATTCTGTTGCACAGCTTAGTGGAGAAGCGTGGTTTCTCCTCTATGAGGAAGCTCTTCAAGGCTGAAGGTCCCCAGAATCTTCTCCTTTTCCTACAATGCTCCTGTTTCCGATTCCTAAGCAGCCAGGTGTCCCCTCTGGGCTCACTCTCGTGGGTAATAGCTCACTTCACTCTTCCTGGCCTGGGTCCTGTGGCTTCCCGCTCTGGTTTGCCCCTTCCACACAGGCCAAGGCAAACCCAGATGTTCCCCACTTGTGTTAATAGCTGGGGAAGGATGAAAAAGGAGAAGCCTAAGGGTGACTGAGGGGGAGGTGAAAGCTCCTGCTTAAAAGGAGATTTCAGAATCTCATTCGTTCTGTGTCCCAGGCCTGGTTAACCATAGATAATGGCACGCATTAGGAGTGTAACCCTCGACCCGTCCGTTGAGTGAGCAGATATGTGCAGTGTCCTTATTTGCCCTATGACCTGCTTGATCTTTCCATCCTGGAATCCAGTTCTCCTCCCCAAGCAGTAAGCTGCCTCCTTCAGGCCCTTCCTTAAAGTGTGCATTTTCCAGATAAGCCCTGTTGCTCCAGCAAAGCCACAAATACTGGAAATTTCTCCATCTCTCTGTTGCACTTGGAAACCGCAGGTCTCAGATATCAGGAAGGCAAGGTTGACCAGGAGGAGCGAGATGTAGGATTTCGCTAGAGAGGGAGCTGATGGGCATATACCCCGAGCCAGGCAGGTGAGAGGTCACATTCTAGGAAAATCAGCAAAAGCAAAGTGAAGCAGACAGTAAATAATCACTGATCTTGTGTGACCTCATCAACTTGGAAGCAGTCAGGCCAGGTCACTGCTCTGCATGGCTCCCTGCCATCAGTCACAAGACATGCTTGAGTTGCGCAGTGCCCAACCTGTGCAGCATATGTGGCTGCTCTGTAGGCTGGGTAGCTTTTTTATTGCCATTATTAGAGGAAGAAACTGAAGATCAGAGAAGCACTGGGACTCACGCCGCATCTCCTGGCTTCAGCCCTGTGCTGCTACGACCACAGTGCCTACTGCCCCAGTGGCTTCTGTTGACAGACCTGTGCTCACAATCAAAAAGATGCCCCATAAAAACCCACTGGGCAGTGATCAGCAACTCGCCTTCTCTAGGAAGAGAGAGGACCCAGGTAATGCCAGAGAGGCAGGCCTTCAGCAGTCAGGGTGGCCTCCGTGCCTGGCTTTTGAAAACCATAGCTAGAGGCCAGTTGGATTTCCAGCATCAGGAAAAGAGCCTGGGGAATGCATGGGGAGGAAAAGTCAGACTCCACCTGCAAGGAACACATTCGCTGAAGGCAGAGCAGGACATAATTAAGCCTAATTGTGTAAGCCTTGCCATATCTTCGAGTGAGAGGGATGCCAAGGTCTTGTGTTCCCTTCTGTTCCACGCAGCCTGTGCATCCCTACCTGAAGGTCACCCTCATTAATGCTGCCAAAAAAAGCCACCCCTCTCCACTTCCACTTGTTCCACTCATAATAGGACCTCTTGCCTGCTGCCTGGGCAGATTAGGCCAATGAATGCATATATGTCAGTGCGTGGGTGTCCGTG